GGATTTTCAACACGGCTCTGTCTCCAGCTCAGAGGCCAGGCTCCCTTTGTGCTAAAGGAGCAGAGTGGGGTCCCCGAGCCCCGCAGTTCACCATTTCGTATGGGTTGGGCTCCTGCCAGGTCCTGGTCTCTCCCTGTTGTCCCAAGGGGACCGCATCTCTCTCCTCTGCAGAGTCAGCCAGCTTTAACATTGGCCTATTTGGCTTTGGTCTGTTTGGGTTAAAAATCTGCAGACAGTACGCTCATACCAAAAAGGAATGGGTTACTCGCTTTTGACTTCTTGGAGGGGGTTAGTGCCCAGGGAATACAGTTGTGGCTGATCCCTCCTCTCCTGTGGCAGAAAGGAGTCCTCAACCAGGACATTTTCAGGTTTTCCTCCCATGTGCCGACAAGGCAGTGCTTCTCCATGAAGCCAGCGGGGCTGGCTGGGCCTGCCCGTCCTGGCTCTCTGCTGGGCACCGGAGGTGCAGTGCGAAAAGACAGGCGCCTGCTCTGCGCCAGGATGCATGTCTGAGCCCCCCCTCCCTAGTAGTGACCAGCAGTCAGAGAATACGAATGAGCAGCTCGGTACTCTGCTAGACCCGCAGAGGAGCTGCTGCAAAGGGCAGATGCCGGAATCCTCCAGAAGGCCGTCGCACACCCCTGGGGCTGGTCCCACAGCTGCCCTAGAGCAGGTGCTGGGAAGTCTGTGGGAGCAGCTTGGGCCCCTAGACTCCTGCACACCCCACCACCCAACACACACACGGACACATACACCAGAGGGACGCCTGGGCTCTGGTCATGGCTTTGCAAACGCGTCTCTGAGGCTGGCATCTGTACTGCATGCAGACATTCCCTCACGCTGGAAGCGAAATCAGTGGGCATCTGTTTATCTACTGTATGTTTAGAAGTTTCCCAGTTCCCTGTGTTCTTTTATGTCAGTACTGATGTTTACAAAGCGGTTTACAGAAGACATTTGCCAGCTGGTAGTTCTTTAATAACTGAAAACAAGGAAGCCTGCGTACTCCTATTGTTTAGCCGGCCTTCGTGGAGATGGGGCCCAAGGGGGGGACCTTGGCTCGTTGTTTCCTTCGATTGCAGTCACCAGAAGGTGTGTTCAGAGAGGTCTCCCCGATGTAGAAAAATACATGTTAGTGCATGGCCAACACCCATCAGACCTTCTTACCTCTGGGGGAGGGTAAAGCTCGGTGGTAGAGCGCATGCTTACCTTGCACACGGTCCTGGGTTCAATCCCCAGTATCTCTATTAAAAATAATAAACAAACAAACCTAATTGCCTTCCCCTGCACCCTGCCCCCCGCAAAAAACGTATTTCTGATTGAGAGATGGAGGGGGAAAGTGGTCAGTTTTACTGAAACGCTTTGTTTTCACATTTGGGGACGATGCTGGCATCTGACAGCCCGTCGGTTTTGTTGGGTGGTATTGCCCACTTGCCATCTTCACGATTCTGCGGAGAGCGAGCTTCCAATGGCAGATGCCCTGAGGTCTCGGCGCAGAGTGGAGATGTGTGCGGGCAAGAGGCAGGGCCCCTCTCAGCAGGCGGGGCCCCCTCACGGCCGTCCGTCAGCCCCTTGGGCAACTGGCCTGGCGGCCACCGTTCCCCCTATTACACAAATGGCCACGCGGCTTGTCTTTGTCAAGGTGGCTGCATGTCCACTCGTGGCCACACCACCACTGGTCTCCTGTCTCATGGGCAGGGCCCAGGCTCCAGCCACCTCTCATCCCATCAGGGCTCCTCCAGAGGTGGGTGGTAGTGGGAAGTGTTGCTCTCTTGCCAACACCAGGCCTAACCTCTGACCTGACACTGGTCACTGCGCTCTAACCAGCACCTGCTGCCTGGCACCACCAGGACAAGAGTTTGGGAGTGGGTGACAGCAGCCCCCGGCTCATGCGGCTGTTTTTCCCACATGCCTCCGCCCCCGTGACCCTGTGATTGTCCTCCCACCGGGTCCTGTAACAGAAACCTAAGACAGGGTGGGGCCCAGAGCTGCTCCTCCCACGCCCCTGGGCACATGCACCTCCTGGAGTTTCTGCAAAGTTCTACAAAGTCTGCTGCTTTATTTGCAGGGGAGTCGTCAGCACTGCCTCTTCTGTTTCCCTGTGGAACCCTCAAAGGCGAAATCCTGCCAAAAATGCTCAAGGACAAAGGTGACTAAAATGCACTGGCTCGTGGGCACCGCCTTCCCAGGGCTCTTTGGGGACCACGGAGAGCCTTCATGGTAACAGAAGTGTCCACCCTGGGAGACCTTGAGGGAGAGCAGGTGTGGGTTGGACCAGCCAGGCTGGAAGGCGGGGCGCCCCTCCTGTTGGGGGGGTGCAGCCTGCCTTCCCTGCTTCAGATCTGCTCCCTCCACCCACTCAGCCCAGCTGGGAGCACGCAGAGGGTTGCGGAGCCCCCACCAGGAGGACATGGTGTGGCGGGGACCCCAGGGCGGGCACACGCAGAAGTCAGTCTAAGGAGGGAGCTGACCTCATCCCGCAGGCCATGTCCCCCAGCTCAGCCGCTCAGGCCTCACTTCACCTCTGTCCTGGATCCCGGGCTCTGTCTCAGAACCAGCCCCTGCGCCTGGGGCTCTCCAGCTCCGCTGACTCCAGTGTCTGGGGTGTCACCTGCAGGCCTTCTGTCAGAGAGCTGGTCTGGGAGGAGGGGGTCATTAGTGGTTTGGAGCACGAGCTTCAGAATGAGGCAAAAACAGGTTTGAATTCTCTGCTGTTCATTAGCTGTGTGAGTGCGCGCTGCCCACACCGTCCCTCTGAGCATCCTCTCGGGGAGGTGGGCATCAGGAAGCACAGAGCCCGCCTCCCGGAGCTGCTGTGAGATCTCACAGCATGAGGGCTCCAAAAGCAAACGGTTCATGGACCAGCAACTTTTATGTCACCCTGCTGTTTTGAACCTTTGACAGCCCACGTGAAGAATGTTCCCCAGAATGATCTTGGACCTTGTCACTGTCCCCTCCTGCAGTAAAACAGAGTGAGGTTGTATCTTCTACCCGTATTATTGTCTGTCTTCCAAACGCTACCAGGGACAATGGCACAGGACATTGGGCAGTGAGATCGGCAAGGTCATTGTCCTTTCTGGACAAGGAAAGGCTGGGAGAGAACAAAAGAGCCCGATCCCAGGTGTCCTTAAAGAAATCATACATAAATCGGAGGTTTGGTACTTCAGTTTTCTCTCTTCAGGTTTTTGGGGTATGAAATGGTGATAGGTTGCTATTTTATGCTAAAATCATCTTTATATTTTATGAGAGGTTTTCTCTCCACCCCATCCATCATTTTCATTAGCCCAAGGACCCACTCCCTCCCTGACACGTTTCATCATGTCGCTGAGTGGCCGCCCTAGTCCACGTCCACGGCCTTGAAATCTGTGCTCCTCCCTCATCGCCAGCCCTGGCCACATTGGGAGTGTTCAGAGCCACCGAACAGAACAGGAGGGAATGTGGGACAGTCCCCAGCCTAACCGGTGCATCTGCAGAGGGGGCCCTGGGCCTGTGGAAGGGGGTGGCCCATCCAGGAGAGGCAGAGCTAGGATGCAGCTGGGGCCCCTGCCTGACTCACGGCCTCCCCGTCCCCCGAGAGCTGCCCTTGGACCTCGCTTTCCTGGCATCAAGTTGCTGGGGACCAAGGTGCCCAGGCCCTAGAAGGCTCCTGGCTGCCTGCTTCAGCCCCCAGCCTTGTAAAGCTCCCTCAGAGCTCTGCCCCCAGCCCTTGCCCCATGCGGGATTCCACACAGGCGGCCTCCACAGCAGAGGGTCGGGGCCAGTCCGGCGGACGGCCCACACAAACTGGAAAAAATGCGTCCACGGCACGAAGGGTGGCTGAGGTTTCAGAACCCTTGTCCTTCCTCTCCCATGTGAGCCGCTCCGCAGTGTTAAGCAGGCTGCAGGGGGCCAGCCGAGTCTACCTGCACTCAGTCCACACCTCTCAGCTCCCGGCAGCTTGTTCCAGGAGGGCGGTGCCCACTGGGGCGGGGTCGGGGGTCCTCCACTAACTGCCCCAGGGTGTTCCCAGTGCAGTAAAGTCCCTGTCCTGGTTTTGATGTCCAGGGATCCCCATGGAAAGCATACCCGTCTATCAGAAGATCCCACACCCGGGAATCCAGGTGAACCTGCACAGCTACTATTCCCAGCAGGTGCGTGGGGTCTCCGGGGGAGCCGGGGCGGGCGCATGGGGTCTCCTAGGGGAGCTGGGGCAGACGCGCGGGGTCTCCGGGGGAGCCTGGGCAGGTGCGCGGGGTCTCCGGGGGAGCCGGGGCAGGTGCGCGGGGTCTCCGGGGGAGTCGGGGCAAGGCCGGCACCCGGGGCAGGGTTGGTTGGGGGGAGAGGCTGGAGAGGGGGCTGGGCCCACACTGGCAAGGCCTGCAGTGCCCACAGAGGAGTCTGGATGGAATTCGGGAGGCCACAGGGACCTTTGGAGGCTTCAGGCAGATGAGTGCATGGCACTTGTTTGAGTTGATCCAAGTTTCCCATGTCTGTATTCAGTAAGACGTCTCCCCTTCCCCTCCCAGGACAGGCTTCTGAGTGCCTGGCCAGTACTGGGAGGCCTTGTCAGCACAACCAGAGCAGAAGGGCCATGTGGGCCAGTCTGTCTGCTGTCTGCTGTATTTCCAGAATGGATGGAGAGGTGACAGGGAGCTGGGCTCCTACATGACCCGTACCACTCTGGCCACATAAGCTGGAGGCATCATCCAGCTGGGCACTAGGTCCACGCTGCCTGTGTCCTCTGACCAGGCAGATGCAGACCTGGGGGCCAGCAGAGGAGCGGCGCCCAGCCTCTCCCATCGCACCCCTCTAAACAGCTCCTGACCTGAGCTCGGCCTGATGGAGCCAAGAGTGCCAGCGTCAGTGAGGACCCTCTTGCTGTGAATGTACGGGGGCCGCAGGGGGCTCCAGGGGCTGATGGTGACCGGCTAGGGGAGCACGGCTCCCCTCGGCCCCAAGGCAAGAGGTGGCCTTGCTTTCTCTCCCTGCAGGGCATTCCAGCCAGCATTACGTTTTTCAGTCCCTCTGGCCTGATGTACAGCCTCAGGTATATTCAAGAGTTATCTGGTGACAACATGGAACAAATTAAGGTGAGGTATTCTGTGCACTTTTGATCTTCTTCAGATTCTTTTTTTAAAATTTTTACTAATTTTCCTAGAGTTTCCCTGTAGAGTCAAAGCACTCCTACTTGCAGATGCCCTGATGGCAGCTGAAGAAAAGGCAGGGCTTTGGGCATCCCAGGCCCCGTGCTTAAAGCTCAGCAGCCCCACTTCCTGGCTGGTGCTCTTGGACAAGTTACTTAACCTCTCTGAGCCTGTTTCCTCATTTGTAATGTGAGGATAACTGTCCCTTTGTGGCCTTTATGACGTGTGTATGGTCTTCCCTTGTAACTTAGTCTCAGGATGAGATGGAAGAGTTCAAGGAAAGCCCTCAGCCCCAGGCCTGGCACAGGTGTTAGCATTCTTCCCCCTTTTTTCCATTTAACTGTATTGAAATTACCTATCCGAAAAGCATTTCCCCTTTTCACGTCTTTTAATTCAAAGGATTTCTGTTCCCATTTTTAAGGACTGTGTTTATTCCGAGTCTACAAGTAGTCCCAGCGCTGTGGTGCCTGTCGTGGGGATGCTGTGGGCCAGGCTGGAGGGGACTGAGGACAGGGTGCAGGTGTGACCGGGAGCCCTGCAGGCACTCATACGGCCAGGAGCAAAGGCCCTTACCTTTCATCACAAGCGTGGCTCATGGTTGGGACTGTCCCCCAGTTTTATAGTGTTAGTTTCAGAGAAGTTGTGCATCCTGTGCTGGGTCACACAGGAGGAGGAGGAGCCATGATTTGGACCTCGGATGACTGAGTCCGTGTTATTGGCCCTGGTGGCCCGTGGATGGGGTATTTCTAGCCGGTATCCTGCGTCGTTCTCACACCAGTTCGGGGTAGGAATCCCAAGTAACAGGAACTACTGTCCTCACTACAGGTGAGGAGACGGAGGCTGAAAGGCCTGCCCGAGTCCTGGGGGGCCACTAGACGGCCCAGGGCTTGCACCTGGGTCACTGGGGAGGGAAAAGAACATCTAGCTCTTAGGTTCGGGGGGACTGAAGAGATACGACCCACAACGAGGTCCCACAGTCGTGGGCACGTGGTGAGTGCTTCCTCTCAGGAGGCTGGCATGTGTGGCGGTGCGGGACCACCCCAGTTCTGGCCCCTCTGCACCTGCAGTAGGAGCCCCTCCAGTCCCAGAGGCTGTCGTGACTTGCCTGGGCAGTTACATCAACATAACCTATCCATCCCGCCCCTGCTTCTCAGTGTTTGTCCACTTTGAGGAAGAACGAAGTGTATTTAATTACACTGTATCTTCTTCCAAAACATACGTTTTTTAAAAGTACAGGTGAACACTTGAAATCTAAACTTAAGGCGTGACCCATTATGAATAGGCTACCGCCCGCCCTGCCCACAGACCGCCCAGCAGCGGGGCTGAGGGAGCTTCCCTGGCTTAAGTCTGTCACAGGCTGTTTTCGTCCCCTTCAGACACTCGGGGCTTCTCAGCATTCCGGGCCACCTCTCCCTGCACAGTTAAGGGCACCGCCCCTGGTGTTTTGAGTACCACCAGGCCTTGACTCTGCCGTTGCTGGAGGGTGGGGGGGTGGGCGACTGAGCCACCACTGTGAGCATTTAGTGCGGGCTGTTTGGGGCCACAGGGATGCCGTGCACCAGCGGAGTTAGCCTTCATGTCGGCAACTTCACTGGCTCAGGCAGGAATTTCCAGTTTTGACAAAGGATGCAGGCCTGGCCCGTGGATTGGGCATCGTCCCTTTCCCGTCCAGCTCTGCCCCCCGTCTGCTTGGTGGCCGCCTCCCTCCCCAGGATTCTTGGCAGGACCCACTGTACAGCACTGCACAGCATGCAGGTGGGCCACAGAAGGTCGGGGGGGGCTCCGGACAGCTGTCTCTAAAGGCCGCAGAGGAGTCGTTACAAAGCAGTAAGGAAGCAAATTCACATGAACCACCAGACTAGCAGAGGCAACTGAGTGCCCTGTCCACCACCTGCCAGGTGTGTTCCCTTCTCACGGTCCACCCCCGCACGGGCCGCTGAAGTGGCCACCTTCACGCTTTGAGGTCACCATCCAGTGGTGGCAGAGCTGGGCTCCAGACCCAGCTGCCGGCCCCCACGGCAGGGCTGGCCCGCTCACGGCACAGGCGGTGCCCAGGGAGGGGCAGGACATTCGCACTGGGCCTCGGGGCCAGGTCGAGGGGGACACCATATGGCTCCGGGGGCGGCGTCTGCAGCCGGGGCCAGCCCTTCAGGCTCTCTGCGGCCAACCAGGCCTGTGGTGCGGGGTCAGCTGGCAGCGCTCTGTGAGCAGGGGGTTCCAGAGGGAACAAAAGACTCGCGTGGAAAGGTCGTGTTGTGACCAAACTGCTGCCGCTGAAATCCTGTTTGCTACTTGCTGGTTCCTAGTCTCAGGGAGTTTCTTTCTTTTTCAACTGAAAAACAAAAGCAAAAACAGCTTTACTGAGAAATAACTCACATACCACCGTCCTGTGGAGCTGGGGTTTGAGCCCAGCCCTCTGGCTGCCGGCCCTGGTCTCGGTCCTGGTCTCGGTGGCTCCGCTCCCCTGGGGGGCCCAGACCCCGCGCCCGCCACACCCAGAGCCCCTCCAGGCTTTGTTCTGTGCTCCACCCGGCCCCACCCGGGCCCCCAGACACAAAGCGGACGCTTCTGAGAATGCGGCCAAGGTGGCAGGAGCTGAGTCCAGACCTCGGTCGTGCCCCACACGGAGCCGCAGGGACGGTGAGACCCACTCAGGCTGATGGCGAGGCTGTCAGGAGGCATTTCGTAGGCAACAGAGCTAGGTTCACATCGGGAGGTATTATCACGTTTACAAGCTGTCGTGTGGGAGTGATGTCCTAACAGACAGGATGCCTGGCAGCCCAGTGCCCGTCGCCCTCCAGCTGCAGCGCTCAGGCCCCTCTCTTCTCCCCGCAGTTCGTCGCCATCGGCCCCACCACAGCTCGCGCCCTGGCCGCCCAGGGCCTGCCTGTGAGCTGCACCGCAGAGAGCCCCACGCCGCGGGCCCTGGCCG